TTGGTGTTGGTCTGCAGGTGATGAAAACAGAATAGTGCACCCTCGACAGGCAACTAGCGAAATACTTGAAGTTTATTAGGAAATTTGAGCTTCATGTTGTTTCAAAGATCGAAAATGATGTAAAATGGCTGTTGTACTTGTAAATACGGCAAACGTAAAGCCAAAGGAGCTACAGAAGAAGAACATATTATGCTTTCACCTTTGACCGATGATTGCGGTGAACGCAAGATATTAAAGGGCTTTTTGAGGGTGACGAATGAAGTTAATTGGTCCTGAGGGAAAGATTTCATGGGATTTTGTCACATATAGCATGGTGATGTCTGGGAGATGTCAAGGTTGGCCATGAAAATGGAGAATTGCTCCATAGCTGTGGAACAGCCTGACTGTTTCAATCATCTTAGCTCTCTCGGGACTTCAAAAGTATCTTGAAAAATTGTATCCTTTGCTGCAGACGAAACCAGCAAGGACAACTGAAGGCTCAGCAGAGAATGACCGAAAACCTGCATTTTGCAGAGTCGATGCAGGTTGCGTCAGCTCGTTCGAGTATGTTGCTAGGTAGATTTGAACGACTGGCGACAAGTGGTTGAGGATCAAGTAGTAGGACGGCTCATCCTACACAGCGCTTGGTGTCTGATGGGAGTAGGTAGCAATGATAGTTTTCATTCTCATATATATAAAAAGTAAATGGATACCTCATTCTCAGACTAAGAATTTAACATGAGAGGAGCCAGTTTACAGGCATCATAAAATTGCTAGTGGTGGAGAAATCTCCATTAGTCAAGTTGTTCTTGATGATACAGAAGGTACGTCACCAACGTTTATCATGATTTTGTAGTGCCTAGTAAACTTGGTTGCGATTTCTATGTCATAAACTTCACATTCACCATCGACTGCGATCGAACGACGAATAACGCTTAATGTGCTCGAAGAAGTTTGCCCACTGGACTTTCCCACTAGAGTGTTGGAAATAAACGAGTCATACTGCTACCGCTGCCTTTTTATTTGCTACGTTGTGGCTGTATAGAGCAAATTGTTCAGAGCGTTAGCCATAAGCCCCTGGGTGCAACACTATCAAGTGTCTTCAGTTTATAAAAAGAACGCAACGATATCACTTTATAAAACTTACAGATTGTTTGGCAGTTTCTGTCGTTTCCACTCATCATTCTATTTTCTTAAAAAAGTGGCACCAAAGTGGCAATATATACGGCGTTTGCGTTACACGTGACCAAGATGCTTAACTTGGAGGTATTTTTATGTGTATCGTCAGACAAAGGTTTATTTTAGCATCACTTTACAGTTTATAGTATGGTTAGCCAAAAAACAACTTTATGGATTTCAGGTAACGGTAAGTGTTGGCATAACCATATAATCCACGCGTTTCAAACAAGTTGCTTTGCCTTACACAGCGAAACAGATGTAATCCATCACAAGTAGTTGTCGGTGGACAAAGAAATAAACATTTAAAGGACTATTATCGGATGGTAATGGAGTTTCGCACATCGAATTCATATTGGAGCATGCAGCATTATCATGGAGCTATGCTGACTCTTAATTGTCCTCTGTCAGACGGAGCCAAATGAGATAAGGTACTGGCGAGGTTTTCGCACGAGTTTGCTTGCTAATATGTCCTACTTTGAACCAGTAGGTGACTTTATTCCTTAGATTTAGATCTTTGCCCAGATTTTCGCTTCCACTATGATGGCCCAGGAGTCCTAGACCAGTTACTGTAGTTGGCTTTCCGCATGTGGCAGCACCTAGGATACTGGTAACTGGGTGAGGTTGCTGTGTCACTTTTCGGAAACATAAAAATCATTGGAGTGAAACCACTTGACGACTTCTTCCAATGCTTTCTGGTATTACGTACGAAGTAGTATGTTCATTAAGTAAATATTTTCGGCCAAAATTAGATTCAGCATGGGAGATACCAGTTTACAGGTATCACCACATTGATATATATTGAAACGTCCACAAGATTTTAGAAGTCCTGAATGGTATAGAGAGTATGTCATTTATCGCTATTAAAAACATCAGAAGATCCTGCTGGTAATGAAAGGAAAAGTAAAATATCACTTTTCAGCGCATGTAGAGTGTTCGACTTTGGACAATGATAATTCTTATTCTCATATAATGCATTCAGCATGAGAGATGCCAGTTTACGGGCATCATCAAATTATTAATTCCTGATAGTTTATAAAATGGCATTTAGTATTAAGTAGTTCATACGTCAGGTCACTATGTACATAATCTCGCTAAAACTTGCTTCAATTCACGAGGTGGGTGTGGATTTTTGTCTACCATCTTATTGATAAGTTTTACTATTACGAAAGAAAGTGAAATGTTCGAGGTTTGTGTTATAACCAGCGACACCGTTCGTCCATCTGTACAGTTTGTCATATAATAACATAATCGTCTATCTGTTGGAAAGTTCTTCAGTTTCAGCCTTACTAACCACAAAGGGCTGATGCACGCGATCTGGAGTGTCATTAAAGCATCCGAAGATATATGTCAAGGTGAGGGTCTAAATCAATGCGTTTCTATTTCACCGTGTTACATTTAATACCACCAGGAATAATTGTTGTAGCGCATGAAGACCGTCCAAGTGGCAGTATTTATGCACAAACTTCAGCCACCTTTCATATCAATGTAAGCAGCATCATTTGGGAAGTGCATTTGATGCAGCGCGAAAAGATCAACTGATAAGGACTGCTGGAAAACATGCAGTTTAGGGCCGATGCAAGTAAGTCGCTCTCCGAACCAGCTGATTCCCAGTCCAATAATTTGCTCAAAATATCTCTGCTACATAACTGTTGGGAAAATCTAGGCGGTTTGTCTCCAGAAGAATCCCGACCGGTAGGTGAGTTAACTGTGAAGATTTTCCAGAAACCGCGAAAGATTGGGAGTGGTCCAGTGATTCTTAACGTCACAGAGCAGGTGTTATATCTGCCCAGTGTTTATATTCAGACTGAAATTTGGCCTCAAATGTCCTCACCGAGCTTTTGCTTCGAATAGGAAAAAGAAAGAAGAAGCAGGGGCCTATACGGAAAAGGAATCATAGCGCAATACGACATGGAAAAGAGAGTTCATGCCTTTTTAGACCGATTCGAACTTTATGAACATTTTCGTGTGCGCATGTGGAATAAGCTTCACACTTTTCCTATCATTAGGTTCTTAAAGTTTTCTACACATGGGGTGTATATCAGTGGCTGTAAGAGGAGGACAGTATACACATGCGCGAAGTACCGTTGTGCCCCTTTGACTCCTAGCTTAACGTTTACACGAAAGTCACTAAGAATAATCGGACGGCATCCGAAAAGTGGACACGTGGACACTTCACAGAGTGGAACCCGTGATTCAGTGCTATTTGAGTAACGAAGGATGCGTAACAAGAGTTTATGTGACTTAGATCTGATATCGGCTGTCGGTTCCGAGAATGCAAAGTTTCTGGAATATCTGATGCCAGGATCTAGCACAGAAGACCGTCCAGGTAGCCGCTTTCCACATACCTCTAGGATCAGGCCAAGGTTGTCGCTGCCCACACTAAGGTAACCGCATTTGTCACTATTGAATTCAAGGTAGGTCTCAGGGCAATATAATGCAAGTTCACTTAGTTCTTGTCGGGCAGTATCCAGGGTACTCCATAGTTCGTGAGAGTGACGAGCGTACACTACCCTCAAGTACTCAACGTATAGGAATGTTTTACTGTCACTGGATCAGTTACACACATTGCTGATACAAATTATAATGAACTGCCGCCATAATCCCTGGGAATTCTCATCATATGTGGGGGTTTCGTATAATTATAGCTGAATAAGGCAGGACTCACTTAACGTGATCACCTAAAAACTGAAGAAAACTAAATGTTCACTCACAACAAGGCATGGTTAAATTTCGGACATGGATGAAGAGTCTAGCATAAGGAGTCCACAGACATGGATACAACCTTAGGATGTGCCAGCGGGGCCTTCACATTCACCCAGTTCCAAACTCAAAATTGAACGCAAAATAAATGGCCTGTTACTCCGCTATTCAAAAGCAATTATCTCAAACCGAGCTATTCATTCTTCTTTTACATGAGTACGCCACCGAGGCAAATATATGGCTGAAGTTATCCTAAGCAACACCTTGAAGCTGCATTAATTGACTTATCTTAACGCACGACTCATCAACTTATTAAAAGTAGTCCTGAAGAAATCGGTGACCTATTGAAGGTTCGTGGGGTAGCTCGAAAACTTCCCTTAAATGCATTTAAGAATCGTCTTTGACAGTTTTTCTTCACTTTTGTTCGATGTGTGCGATTTTTGAAGATTTATTCCCATATCTTAAGCTTCTTTTTGCGTTCCATATCAGGTCGCTTAACTGAAACAAGCATGAAGCGATATGGAACGAGGGGGATTTCGGGTATAACCTGTCTGTTCCAAAGGACTGGAGGCAGGAGTGCAACATCCTTGTAACGGCAAATGAGGAAAGTGGCGTAATAACTGTAAGTTGTGAATTTTCAGTCTTTCAAGGAATTGCTGAGACATTTATTCCTGTACTGTCCTTCTTCAAAGAGCATGTGGATCCACTAAAAACAGATTCCTGCTTGTAGCCAGAATACAAATCGTTAGGATGTAGTGGGATTATTGGTGATATAATACACTGTGACCATATGCATTGCACCTTTATAATAAAGCTTGCGGATTAGGTGTCTCTGTACTCTGGAGATGGTAGCTGACTTTCGGAAACAAATCTTTCATAGTAAAGAGTACAGAATTTCTCCATTCAAATATTTCCGAGGACGAAGCGTTTCACAAGTGGCGGTATGCTCACGCATTGAAAAGAAAATTGCATTATGTAAAAGAAGGACAACTGAACAACTACGCAGACACTTTCACATTAGCTGAGTAACATATCAAAACTCTCTTATTTCACGTAAGAAAACATTATTTCCTAACCTTGAAAGGGTTTTGTTGACAAGTTTGTTTATACCAGTCAATACGTTCACAAAGAGTAGGTGGTAATATGAAACTCAGCATCTCAGTATTATATTTATATTTTATCGGATTCCTATTTAAACACTCGGAAAGCTACTCATTCCTCTCAGTCTTCTGGGTTTCTCTAGGTGAGCTTATTCTGAACAACTTATGTAGTTAGTATTAAACTCCAATTTAGATCAAAGGGTTGAAGTCATATTAAATAAGACAGTGTGGGAATTGAAGCTTCTGAAGGTTCTGCAAGGTAGCAGTATAAATTATTCAGCGGACAAAACCCTTTCTCTGTCAGAGAACTCTTCTGTCGTGGTAAGTTGGTCCATTAAAAATATCTAATTGCTCATGGTCACAAATTTGTGACCACAGATAATTTAAATTATCTGTGTGCATATGACCTCTGAGAAAAATTCTTCGCCACTTCTAGTGCTGTTTCTGCTAGTTTTTATACATCGTGTATTCATTTATGCTGGTGTGAAAACGACTTGAGTCAGCCTCCGAAGATATTTCCAAGGAATTAATTCTAGGTTGTTATCTTGTTGCAGGCAAATCAGTTTTCAATAGAACATGTAAACCAAGTGAAAAATATTAAATTCTTTGCTTCTTTTCACAGATGTGAATAATGCTTGTTTAGTGATTTTGGTGGACAGTTCTGAAGCGAAAATTATGGTATCAAGTAAATATACAGTCAAAGTCTGTTAAAGCATGCGAATGCTTTCGGATGAATTAAAGTTTATCAGTCTTCACTGTTAAGGATGATAGACTTAGCAACTCGCCTCAGTGCTTACATAAAAACACACTTTGAAGATACGGTATCTCCTTGAAAGTGCTGGTCGAGGGAAAGAATACCACTAGATTTGGTAACAAGTTCCGGTCAGTAACCACAATGTGATTGAATCTGAGTTCACCTCGTAATATGCTTAATTGTAACTTCTGAATACGTCTGCAATGATCTCTTAGACAATGCGATTTTAAAGAAGCAGAATGACTGAAGAAACCAACACTCAAATCTTTATTCAAAATACGATACAGCAAAATATGATCATCCTCTTTTCTTACAATATGGTACTAGGTAAGGATTTAAACTTTCTAACTGCTTCTTACAATGGAGGTGAGAAAGTTCCGGTACTAACTCCCTAACAACCCTTCATACCTATTTTGCAGGGATGTTATTTCTGAAAGCAAGTGGTGACGATCTGTGTGGAAGATTAAAGTTGAGCTGTTATCCAAATAAGATTGTAAGAGTCTAGTTTTGTTACCATTGACTAGCCTTAGGTTGATCAGTGTTCACTACCACCAAAGAAACCAGTACCTTACCTAGCTGTGAGTGCTGATAACAGGAGAAAAGCTATAAAATAGGCTGTGTGGTAAAAAGTGCTAAGACGAAATGTTTATTCATTTTTTTAAAGAGATTATATTAGGGGAATGACTTCAACTTATCTGTCCATTACTGGTCAAGCTAGGGACTTTGAACTGGGTGCTCCCGACCAGCAACAAAAAGATTCTATTGTGCTGAATGTCTGTAGGTGGATGCTTACTCGTTAAAACAAACGTATAGGACTGAATTCTCCTGCCAATACCGTAAAAGAACATTTGGCTATTTTTCAGATATTTCAAATGTTTATTTATTTGTATCAAACCTAGCAGTATTTCAATCCAAATATGGTGCACTACGATATAAACATTCTGGAATTAAATTCTGTCTGAAGTTACAGTAGTACCTGTAACATTTAAACTTCGACTGTATTAAAATACGTTATTGGGTTCAAGCTGTGGTGGATTATAACTCTGAGATCTTTTTCGTAAGGTAAGGCTAAGTTGGTTCCCCCACTTCGTAATTAAGATCAAGGTTTTGGCCAACTTACATTATTACACTCTTTCAGAGGTTGAAAACCAGAACCTGGTGTAGAGAACAATCTTTTATCGCATCTGAATTATTATGAAGCAGTAACTAATCTTCACCATCATGAATAATCTTCTAAAGGAATCATCTGCAGATATCAAGGATGATGACTACAGTATATTGTTAGATCAATAAGAAGTGGAAACCTAAAACGTCTTTGTAAAGCGCCCCATGAAATCCCACTTGTGGTCTTTTCCCATTCAAAGAGTACTCTATTTACTTTAAGTCTTTGCCTTCTACCATGAAAGCAGCTCTTAAACCATTAGTACATCTTAAAATCTATGCTAAAACTAGCTATCTCCCTCGCCTTGCTGTAATGGGTCACCTTGTCATGTGATAAAACGAAGTAAACAACCATTATATTAATGCACAGTTTATCGTTTCTAGCTCTGACTCATTGTTATTTGGTAAAATTAAGTTTCTAGGAAGTGAGTGTTTGGAAAAGAAACTGTGTTGTTTATGCCTCAACTAATCGTGCGATCTCATATGACTCAGTGATTTTTTCCTAACTGTCAGCTTTGAAAACCCTGCAGAATTAATTTGATTGGATTTTAGTTTTATCTATGCATCATCCTATTAATACATTTGACCAGCCATTATGAAGTAGGCTGGGCATTTGTTTTTGTCCCCTGATCCAACACTTCACATAAGAATATGCTGTTATGGGACAGTCGATAAAAGCATATACTCATTGGGATGCATACTCTTTGAGGTTCCCGGCAGTGTTAGGTAATTTTATAGACTTTGGGATCAAAGTTTGATATGATACAGTTGAATAATTAGAGCACCGGGCAACTGGATCATAAATGAAATATATTTTGTAAAATCCCAATGAAGTAAAAAAATAAATTTCTGACGTTTCGCGACTTCGTGGAAATTGCTTCTTCTTGTGACGATGACATCCACGTTCATATTTTCATCATGTATAGACAATGTGATCTGATTCGTCACGTTTTACTATTTAAACTGTTTGATAACTTGTACAGGTTTTATTCTCTGAAGAAGCGATTTCCATGAAGTCGCGAAACGCCAGAAATTTATTTTTCTACTTCATTGGGGTTTTACAAAATATATTTCATTTATAGTCATGGGTACGTTTTCAACTAGACGATGTTCCAGATTAGACAGATCACTTTCCGTCCTTATATACAGATCATAGTGATAATTCCTGCATCTTAGTGAACTTTAATTTTGACAGCCCTTCGAAGAAGGTCTATGGGTAGGCCTTCATGGTGCTAGCCAAAGGCAGAGGGACTGACATTTTGAACATGGTCTTGGATTTTTCAAAAGCCTATAGCGGTCCAGTCAGTGTTTATGAGCCTTTGCGCTTGGTTAAAGCTACTCTCAGTTGCTGGTACGTCTGCAAATCAAACACTGGGTAGACAAGACATCAGTTTATAAGCTAGATAGAACTCTATAAATCTAACTCCAGTAACTAATTGGTTAAAACTTGCCTGCCATTGGAGGTATCGGAGGTCACTCACATCCTTAAATTGGTGTGTAAAGTTGGAATCTCACAGTGATTATTCATATTCTGGGTTGAAATGCGTCGGTCGCGCTAAAATTTTATACAAGAAAACATCCAAAAGTAGCTAGCAGAAGATAATAATCGTCATGATCCCAACTAATGTAGGAATAATTCAGCTTTTCAACTACTGACTAACTATTGTAAGTCCTCAACCTAAGCAGTTAGTTTAACATGAAAGCGTTGGTCCAATGGTTAACACTGCAATTTATGACGCCCATCATCATGGTGTATAACCTTAACTTTCGGACTTACACGAATCACCAGCGCTTGACTCTGATCCGGATGACCGTGCCGTTATAGTTTCCCAAATATGTAGTACTATACCATCACTTGTGTGACTGGTGTCCCGTAGGCAAGTGTATCCTGGTGTGAGTGATGAAAAGTCAATTGGCACTAGTAGCCAAGTTTACGTGACTACTATCACGTCAAGCTTCAAATCTTAAACTAATTCTCCTAGTCCACATAATTTGTTCCAAATGCGACAGGAACTAGTGTTACATGCAGTTATATTGCCTTATCGTTCATGCATTTCAAGAACAGTGGTTTTCACAGCCAATGTTGTACAGATCACACCACCCGAAAATCAGCACCTCTTCTTCCAGCCACGCTTTCAATTCAGACACAGACTCCATTCTCTTTATCCTGTCCTTAAGCAGCCTTTGTGGAAGTATAGATATGTACCTATCGCCAACTGCATGCATCATTTTGGGGACGATATAATGTTTTTCGTGAGTACTCACCAAAAATTTCACAAGACCTCTTATATGAACAGCTTCATCTTCCAACTTTCCTTACCTCGTCGGCTTCACTTGTACTCCTGTGTAAGATTCCGGTAGTTGTTGAACTGCTCTACCAACTGGGTTTCTGCATTTAGGAGTTTGTCTATCCTTTCATGTTCCAATGGATTGAAATGTTTTCTCTATTTTTATCTGTAGATTTACTGCTCATATCCTTTGATGTTATTCTAACCTCCCTGATCAAATTATTTGCAAGTAACTGGTTGTTTGTTGACCTCTTACTTTTCTTAAATGTCGCAACCCATTCGGTTTGGGATGAATACTAGGCTTCAAAAATATTGTTTCGGTTTAAGTTGCCTGGTACACGAAGTGTATGATCAACATTCAGTGACACTAGAGCTAGACTCTATGCAGGTTTGTTAAGATAGTCCTGACCTTTTCTTGACCCCAAAATGAGTCGATTGGACAGGTGTTTGTATGCAGACACCTACAATGGTTGCCCAAACTCTTCGAGTACGAAGTCCTTTGTAGCTCTGTTCTCATGAAATATTCTACTACCCGTGATATTGTCTTTGTCATTGAAAGACACCAAACTCAGTATAATATTGTTGTTGACAAATTTATTTAAGAGACGTTTAAGATAATAGTCCATCGGTAGCATCTCAGGTCGATAGAGCGATAAAGCTCAGCCAGGAAGAGGCAAGTTTCCTTAACAGTTTATTGTCCACTGGCGTTAATTCAGTACGTACCAGATGGAACCGTTTACTACAGATATCAAATTCCACACCCTTTATAATGGCCAGGTCCCACACGAGAGGATTTTTCAACAAATAAAAAGAAATCGAGACCAAACGTGGGAAAATGTATGCAAAACACAAAATTAAAACAAATACATCAAAAGTGGAAGATGAAAATCAGTGGAAACCGGAACTTTGTAACATAATGGATAAGGTTGACAAAACCATTTTGTCGTCTAAGTTCACAAGAAAAGCTTTTGGCATGAGAAGCCTAGCAAAAAAAGAAACAGCATGTGGAAAGCACGAAAGGCCATTGTTCGTTATGAAGTACAAATAAGTACCGTCATTATCATAACAATTACCTACTCGATTACTTTTCACTTGCTTCACACGTTTATTGTGAACAGAATTATTTCTTGAGGCCGAATTTATCTTTGTTGAAAGCAATCGGAATTTAAGCGAAATTTATTCAGTACGTGTATGGATATGAAAATATAAAAAACTTCAGTCCTTCTTGAGTGCTCAGACACACATATGTAGTGATGTTTTAATTGCTTGAGGACTTCACCTCCAGATCAGTCGACTGAAGATGACTAAGCATTCTCTTTTGATAGAAATAACTGATGTATTCGTTACGATTTACAGCTAACTTTTTCGTGGAGTTATAAGTAAGCTCCGACAACCAAGTCATATAGAAAACCTTGGGCTATACAACGATTAAGATATTTAGCAAAATTTCCACTCCTTTAGCTCTGTATCATACACATTTATCTCCACAGTTAGTCTGTGGCTAGTTGCTGGGACCCAAATACAATGTTGTGGTCTGGTAGGTTAAAATACGTTGATAAGAATAATTTTGGAACATTAAAATTAATCCAAATAATAGCAAGTGTCTCTTTGTACGTTTCCGAATATTACTGTTCATACTTACTCTTAGTTTTCTAAATGTAAATAACAGATATTCAGTTTTTTTATTTCTATAACAGCTATGCTAAGTAAAGAAGTTGTTACAGTTGGAAAAGACATTCTGTTTAATACAAAGACTTTTGATACTGATACTTCGTTAGAAACTGTAAATGATGGAGAAAAATCGGGTTTGAGGACTACAGAAAACATCTCTTTCCTATTACAAGCTGAACCAATATGTTAACGGTATATACACTTACCTAGATAACCACATTAGAAAGCACACTGCAATAAGCCATTCATCTATAGAACCATTGTGCCTGGTCAGACAGCCCAGGCATGATCAAACTATGTATCATGTTTGTAACTTTTACAGGCATCTATAGAATTATTACAAGTTAACCACATTTCCCTCCTTAAATGAACAATTTTACCTGAGATACTGAAAGTTGGAGTTATTTTACATCCGTTGAAAAAGTTTTCAGTCTAATCGAATATAATATTCCAAGCTTCCTTACTTTCAGGTATTAAACAGCTAGTCAGTCAAAGTATTTAACTTCATTGATGGGGCAGGTACTGTCTACAAATCTATTTCTAGTTTCATAACCAAACCAAGTTCAGTTTTATCATTTCGTTGGACCATTGTTGTTTACTACATTTCGACATGTACAGGGGGGGGAGCTAAATTCGTCAGTTATATTGCTTACCATACTGTGAACTATGCCAGTCTCTAATAATTACCTAATGGCTAAGCGGTTAACGATCCTATACACCGCAATTGATAATTAGGACAGAAGATGATAAAAACCAAGTATTTTAGTGGACGATAAGGTAATCAACGATGGAATAATGTTCACATAAATCACAGTAAACTTGCTTGTGGATGAGTCTGTTACACTAATATTAGGTTGGACAAGTCTAATAAAAAAGTCATAAATCGCGAAGTAAACTAATTCACCAATGAAATAGTACTAATTGTTATGCAGTAAGTTTCTCAGTAAATAATCTTATTTCTGAACAACAATTTTTCTGATAAGTCTTACATCTTCATCATAAAATAGTGTAAAATCTTTTTAGGATATCTAGTTTTTTTCAGTCATATTGTTTCTTTATGTCTATAAACAGTGAGTCACCATAGTATCAGAGAGGATTTTTAATATTTATCTTTCAGTGCGTTAGTCTGGGAAGTACAGCATTATTTTGATATAATGGCATCATTTAAACTGGTTGCCATTTTATTTAGGTTAGAGCCTTTGAACTTGGAATATCTCCTGAAGTTTTATACGCCAAAGGTTTCGTAAATGAAGTTGTTTCATTAAATGTCACTTGAGAGCGAATAAATCGACTGCATTCACATTGGGTATGAATACGTTTATGTTTCAAGAAAGATGCACCTGGTATGTTACTAATCAGGTTCTATATAGTTAGCTGAACTTTCCAAAGTTATTATTTTAATTACTTCTACTTGTTTTCCTTGGAGGTGAAGCCTTTTTCAGTGCCTCTATAAGATAAATATGCTTTAATAATGGTTCGATAAAAGGTATTTTCTTAGTAGAAAAACGTTAACACCATTGTGTAATATACGCTCCAATATCTGGTAACAGACAGTCTAAATAGCTGCAATGAATACATTGTACTATTGTAATATATTATGAGGGGGAAAATTTCCGGCTGTCATCTATCAGGGAAGAAGATTTGAAGCTGAAGGTCATTATAACCAAGAGGCTATGAATTACACCAGTAACTGTGACTAAATTTAGAATATATAAAGTTTGTCGGCTGTTATGAATTTTTTGAGCACATATCATTTACTTTTACCTCCATCGCATGGTTTCTCTCCGTATGAACTTATGGTTATGCTTGAAGAAGAAATTAGTAAAATTCATCAAAGCTCAGTCTTGGTAATGGTCTTTAAATTTTTTAGATAATGACAGGGGAATCAGACGTATAACTGAGATTTGTATGGCATAAAATATTACTGGATAATTAAATGAAAATTAATCAGATAATATAACTTCAAATCAAGCTATGGCTGATGATAATTTTGTTTGAAGGTTTTAAACCCAATGCTCACTCTATTCAGTCTAGGCATTGCTAATCATCAGTTTTCAGTCGATTGATAAGTTGAGCTGAGGTCTAAAATACGGAAATGAAATATTAAAAAAAAATATATTTTCTTAATTTTTGAGTTTTAATGTAACGTTAATTCACTCTTAAAATAGTCCGAAATCAATGTGGAACCCGCCAGACATAACTTAGGCTTTAAGTATATATTGTATTGAATAATGTATAAGTGAATTACTGAAGCATAAAAACAAACATCTCCGCTATACTTTGTCACTTTTGGACTGCATAGGTTTTATAATATTCGTTTCTGATAAAACTGTGTGCAAAATGAATAGTATCAGTCCTAAAGCTTTCTCTGTTTATTGATTCAATGAGAGCTTAAAATGCATTTTTACCCTAATTTTTGATATAAGACATAAGGAGTTGGATTTTTATTTAATTAAAGGGTAAACAAGTTTATTTCTCACACATATGAACACAATGTGGACTTTATCTTTGTATTTTCCCCGTTATGTTTTTGAAATCGTAGAATAAGTGTTACAGTATGGTTTTTCTGATTTCACTGACTAATTCTCGATTGTATGTGACTAAGAATGTCAAGTGTTCACATTCTGAATTCCTAACTGAAATGTTCATAAAATTCGAAACGAGAAAGAAACCTGATGAGTAAAAAGAAACTGGTCATGTATCCAGCATATGACTCCTATCAGTTAGGGTTAGGGTAGACTGCACCAATCGAACCAGTTATTAGCATTCCTGAAGTTATTCTGATAAGCGTCAACAAGTGATTCCGGAAAAATTAATTTTCATTTCGACTTTCTGAGATAACCGTGGTTTGGCAGACTAGTATTTATACTGGGTGATGATTATAGGTAAAATAAAAATTTGAACCAAGGCCGAACTCGAACCAGCGACTACCGGGTTTCCTGCACGATGCTGTATCGACTGACCTTGGTGACTGAAGTGGCCGGCAGTTAGACCTCGTAGCTGGGTATAAATACTAGTCTGTCAAAGCCTATACTGTCTCAGATAGCCCCTCCTCTCTACTTCAGTTAGATTGGGATTGAGATGAGAAGTCCTGACTAGGCAGCATGAATACAATCAAGCAGTAGCAACGCGTCAAGAATTCATGTAGTAGTTGGGCAAAACCCATGGCGATTGAAGTGGAATAAAAATCTGATTAGCAGTCGGATATCGTACAGCAGCGGGATGGAAACCCTTTAGTCGCTGGTTCGAATCTGGCCGCGGTAGAGATTTTCATTTCACCTTCAGTCATTACCCAGTGGAAATTAATTTGATGAAAACTGAAATGATGGAACCATATCAAATTAACGTGTAATTTGACTGATCCTAGGGTAGTTTTGACCAGTGACCGGCATTAGTTACAAATGTTTTATCTTAGATTGTGTCTGTCAGTCAACACTTATGATCGCATTCTAGTACAATTCTAAGACATCCAGGTTTGAGTCATCATGTAACCATTAGATTGGAGCTCATTGATCTCCATTACTTATCTCTTATTTGGTGGCAACCTACTGTAATCCCTTAACAAATTTATGATGATTCTCGTAAATTAAAAGTAATAATTCATCCTGCTCATTAAAATCTGAAAAAAATAGAAAAAAGTAGTTTTAGAGGTGTGAAATTCTGTTTTCTACAGTTTTTTTCTTCTGAGATCTAAACGAATATAACCTTTATCTAATTTTTTCTTCATGTCGTATGAACATTGTTAGTAGTAACTAGAAGAACCTACTTATTATCTGAATAAGAGTCAACAGATTTTCATATTTTCGTAATTACAAATCTCGGAATTTTACTTATACTAGGTATTTTCTGCTCTATATCTTTGAAGTAATTTTATAAACACTGTCTCAACTTAAATGTCTGTTTACTTCATGTGCAGTAACCTGGTTTGATTGACAGACATAAAGATACTACTGGGGCAATAATGTATCATCAAATTCTGCATTTTCTTCAAGTTAAACATAATCCTGATATCTTATTTTCAAACTATGAGTTTATGTATTGTTTGCATCTTGTTCCAAGGTTGATCGAATTGATTTCGATAGGTCTAATTTATATCTTAAGCTGTTTTTCTATGTCTGGAGAAATAATATTTTTCAACCGTCGCCTGCAATTGTACGTGAACTGAATCGAGTACCGGAGAACTGGCTGGCGGTTAGCTTGGGAATGCCAATAGTGGAAAAACCTAAAGGTAATTCACAGCTGACTGAGGTTGCATATAAAATATATCAATGTTTCATAACCGTTCACTTTTCTCTGGGAAAACTTAGCAGTCTTCGCATATATGAACAAGCCCTTAGGAGTAACCAGTACAAGTCCATTTAGAAACAGATAGACAGACAAAATCAAAGTAAAAGCTTCATGATGATGAGATTCCTTTATTAAGATCCTAATTTCATGCTTTCCAACGCATAGGAAAGGTACCACACCTATGTATTGAATATTTATCACACTGTGGTTATGATCACAACATTTTAAAGTGTTGTGTGAAGAAAGGCAGTAATGGATATCATTAGTGGTCATTTTTGTTCAACAACAAATGACCTGTATTCGACCAGTACAATTTTCATTTTTTTCACTTGCCTAACTGAGAACTGTTGTGCTCAGCTGACAGAAAATCGATGTTTTTGATGTTAAGAATGCTTTCAGTAGACATCTAAGCTATGTTACTAGTAATTTTTCGTACGATAGCGCAGTGACTAAAACCTTCATAAGCTGGATGAGTATTTTTGTGAATTACATCACTTAAATTGAGTTTGACGATTCATACAAGACACAAGTTTATATCATGTAGCCAGAACAAGTGTTTTCAAAATTCAAAAGTAAACCGCACCAGTCAGTCATTAAGCTAGCATCAACAGGAAATCCGGCATTACTACATAACCATCCTCAAATTAACACAACATAGTAAGAAGCACAAGAATGAAAGGGAGGGAAGTAAGGGAGAAATAATCAAAAGTTATGGAAAGTTATGAAAGGAGAATGAGAACTGAGAGATTAGAACCACTTACTCAATTTGGTTGTCGACTGATGTTCTACCTGACCTAACAAAAAGGGTTCTTAAGAGCCCGTGGTGTGGTTGCTACAAGATAAAATCTTCCTGAGCTTTACTGTTAGCGGCTTTGCCTCAATACTCTATCTACGTAATTACTGTATCATTGTGTTAAACATCAAATAAATTGAATAAAACGTAATCACATCTTACTGCAGTGCCCAGATTTTTCTCATATATCATTGCTTACGAAAAGCCTTCTTCTGGAGTTGAAAGTATTTACCAGCATACTTAAGTAGGGTAGTTGTGAGGAATCATTATTTACGATTCTAAGGCTCAACTGATGAAGGCTTCTTTATACTTTTTCTGCATTCAATATCATAAAAAGTGTTCCGTGAAAAGATTTGTAACTTCGGTGAGTCATTTTAATGGTGTTGTACACTACGAGAGCAGTAAACAATTCACTGTCATTCTGAACTATATCATAAGCTTTAGGTTCACAAGGAAATTGATTGGGAGAAGTTCTAGGCAGATATGTAGTGTTTTCAGACTAAACGGCGCGTTTCAAAAAGTCAACATCGATATAGACTTACTTTCGTTCAGCTGAGAATAAAATATTACGGTTTATTTGAGGCCTACCTAAGCAGCAACGTTTGAATTACGGACGGCGGCACAGATTAGGATTTCAAAGCCAGGATCAGAAAAGCAAGACAGGCTTTGATCAATCTGAAATCAGTGTGGGGATCTAATCTGCTGTACTCAGCATAAAGCGAGAACAACATCCAGATTTTCAACACCAACGTCAAATCACTCCTTATATACGGTTCACAACCTTCACGCGTTACCAAAACCATTTCTAACAAACTGCTAACACTCATCAACAAATACCATCTACACTCAATACTGATGATCAGATGATCAGAATTATAAGGATGAGCAAAATGGAACTCTGCTCTGACAACGAACCAACCAATAATCCATCACCCAACAAATATACAGAAGAAAGTGGAGATGGATTGAATTGGACATACACTGAGAAGACCGCTTGAAGACGTTGGTTGCCAGACGAGAACATCGAGTGGAGTCCGGATAGGAAAGGACGAGTTTGGCGTCTGAATTGAGGGTGAAATGGAGGAGATTGTGTGAGAAAGAAATGAAAGATTTTTGGCAGTTGTGGAGCTAGGTTGGAAAGACTGCAGATAAGAGATTGAATTGGCGATGTGTTATTGAAGCCCTATGTTCTACTAGGAACCCATGGGACAAATAATGATAGAGTATACAAAAATGCATTAACTTTTAATACCGCAATGTTTACCAATTGATTTAACTCAGTATACTTCTCTTATGTATTTTTCTTCTAATATATTGCTGATTGTTATTAAGAATCAAGAACATTTCCTCATTTAACATTCGTTACAACTCTAGCCTTGCACTGTCATCGATTTATGAATAGACATTTAACTCTCTTGACACCTATAACTATGGTTTCATCTTCCTTCATTCTTTTTATTTGAAAGAAATTCAACGATCTTCCGTTTACCCTCCTGCTTATCAAAGTTGTATATTCAAGTTTCAGACTATCAGCAACTGAAAAAAGCTTTCGAAATAAAATAAAACTGTTTTATTCTGGCAATCTAGTTCTTCTTGTTTCAATGAAAGTAATCAATAGATGACATTCCATATTAGATTCGTTTATTTGATATAAAGCGCACAGTGATACAGTATTATTTAATTGATTACGTTTCGAGCATAAATTATTACTGCTCATAATCATATCAATGTAATCACACTTCTTTCGACATCTGATTTTATAGTCCTGTCACCTGATCTCTCTTTGTTTTTTGATTGGTAGTAAAGTTTTCCATATCTCTGGTATAGGTGTTGCATCATTCCTATTACATGTGTTGGGTGTGGATTCGATGAACAAAGATTCAGTAATTAATCTCTCTCTCCACCTAGCTACATTAGACTTAAGTACAGTGGTTTTGTCCCATCCTATTGTGTGGTTGTGTGTTAACGAATGTAATGCAATGGCCGAGTGTTTTTCTAGGTTATTGATCTTATTGGGGTCTGCCGTTCTATGTTTAGCTAAATTCCTATGTTCTGTTAATTTAACTGACCCCGACCGGCTAGTTTGACCTATGTATTTGACTTCACAGTCATTACATGGAATTTGGTAGATTATATTATTTTGCTGAATTGGTTCTATCGGATGCTTAAGCCAGCCGACAAAGCTTACCTCTAAGTGAGTTTGTTGGTTTAAATGCCACCCTAATTCCAACCTTGTTGAGAATCCTACGTATGGTTTCTGATGTTCCTTCCTTGTATGGTATCACAATAGAGGTGTTGATTTCCTTTCTACTTATGTTGTCACTATTATTTGTATTTGTATTAGTGTTATTATTTTGCACGGACGCATAAGAAGCAAAATAATAACACTAATACAAATACAAATAATAGTGACAACATAAGTAGAAAGGAAATCAACACCTCTATTGTGATACCATACAAGGAAGGAACATCAGAAACCATACGTAGGATTCTCAACAAGGTTGGAATTAGGGTGGCATTTAAACCAACAAACTCACTTAGAGGTAAGCTTTGTCGGCTGGCTAAGCATCCGATAGAACCAATTCAGCAAAATAATATAATCTACCAAATTCCATGTAATGACTGTGAAGTCAAATACATAGGTCAAACTAGCCGGTCGGGGTCAGTTAAATTAACAGAACATAGGAATTTAGCTAAACATAGAACGGCAGACCCCAATAAGATCAATAACCTAGAAAAACACTCGGCCATTGCATTACATTCGTTAACACACAACCACACAATAGGATGGGACAAAACCACTGTACTTAAGTCTAATATAGCTAGGTGGAGAGAGAGATTAATTACTGAATCTTTGTTCATCGAATCCACACCCAACACATGTAATAGGAATGACGCAACACCTATACCAGAGATATGGAAAACTTTACTACCAATCAAAAAACAAAGAGAGATCAGGTGACAGGACTATAAAATCAGATGTCGAAAGAAGTGTGATTACATTGATATGATTATGAGCAGTAATAATTTATGCTCGAAACGTAATCAATTAAATAATACTGTATCACTGTGCGCTTTATATCAAATAAACAAATCTAATATGGAATTACATTCTACCACAGTGCCCAAGTTTTTCACTTATATTAATAGATGACATTGTATGAAATAATGAGAACAGTATTTTCAGAATAAACTTGAAGTTTTACTTTACTTGACATGTATATTCTTTATTTTAGTTTATGATTTAGATGCATATGAAAAAGTAGATGATTACATATGGGTTATTGGAATAGTTACCAGTTGTTTTCTTGGACTATTATTCATTTGTTGGTTCTTCATTTTTGTGTACACATATATCTTACAAGCAACTGCTATGGATAAATGGTTACCAAAACCATATATTAGAGATAGTAAGCCAACATTGTACAAACAAGAAAAGGTTCAAAAAGGTTTTCAACGGGTAAATCTTGTATGATTATTTACTTGTTTAAATTAATTTCATTTTATTTACAATTTAGGTTTCACATAAATTAATTTGAGTATCATTGTCAATGAGCATTTCAACGAGGCTACTTATGTAATGAATAGTAACTAATAGTATATTGTCAATTTATTTATCATTTGTTAGTCTATCAAATTAGAAATGCTTAAATATATTTAGATACTTCAGAACATTCAGTAAACTTAGGTCTATAGTATCCTGTTTATTACTTTTAGTAGTCCGGCTGTGATTTAAGACACTCTGTTATGAAACCTTCTTAGTTGTGTCGGAATAGAGATAATTAATTGGAGGATAGTTGATCCTTTAGCGTTTACAAATTGTTAAAGGCTTATGACAGTTTTCAGACCATATTTGTCTGTCTATCAATTTGTCTAGTTGCTCAAAGTGAACTATTTATGCTCAACTAATTAATACCTTTTCTTAGCAATAAATTTTGGTGGTTCTATAAATATCTCAATAAATCTATTAGCTTGATCCAGGAAATATTTGTTTTACCCAACTGACACAGATACAAATGTATGCTCTATCAACATAATTGTAGGAAAGCTGTCAAGAGGAAATCAGCGTCTGGTAGTTGAGCTTAATGACAGTGTTGTTAGTGTGTTGCTTCAAGTAAGCCCTTTGTCTATGCACTTTTATTTGTTTCCTCAGACTGCACTTAGCTGCAAACAAGTAAGCATAATAATGTCAGTTGTACTATTTTAGTCTGTTTATTAGAAATATCACAGTGATGGGACAGTAGCATTTAATGGATAACGTTTTGGACGCAATTTATTGTCCATATTCATATCAGATAACTGACTCCACAACTTCAAGACTGACTTTATACATTCCTGATTTTCTCTCCTTCTCTGTGATGACAAGGGCAGTAGAATTTCTCATTTATCTGGGACAGGTGCAGCATCATTTTGATTGCATGTGTTTGGTGTTGATTCGATAAGTAAAGATCTAGTTGGTTATCAATCTCTCCCTACACCCAACTGACTTAGCTTTCAACACTGTAGCCCTATCCCATCCTACTGTGTGATTGTGTGTCATCGCATGCAGAGCTACAGCTGAGCTTCTCTCTAGATTTCCTATCTTATTAGGATCTACTCATCTTGATTTAGCTAACCTTTTTGCTCTTTTATTCTAATCGACCCTGGTCGAATGCTTTGAACAATATACTTGACCTCGCAATCATTGCAAGGGATCTGGTAAACCAGATTATTTTGCTTAATTGCATCGATAGGATCTCTTAACTTACAAAGCTTGTTTCTAAGTGAGTTTGTTGGTTTGAATGCCACATTCTACTAGGATTATTACTTTTCGGCACTACTAGTGGTAATAATGACGACAAGGTTAAGACAGAATTCAAAGCCTCTGTTGTGTCACCATACTAAAAATGGACCTCAGAAGCACTATGAAGAATTCTAAATAATATGTTTAAATATGCTGAAGATAAATAAAACACTGCTCAGCCTAAAAATGATATCAATTAATGATAAGATATCAATTAAATAACGTCTGCTCAAAACCAGTATTACTAAGTTTGCTTTTGACATTTTTCAACTATTCAACATATACATTCTTCGGCTGGGCATATAGAAATGGTAGTTTACATGAAATGAGAAAGTAGAAAGTTCGGCGTCAGTGAGTTATATCACATAATGTTTTGTTTAGGTTCAATTAACTAAGTACTTGGGAAATAAACAGTTATTTGGTAACGATTATAACTATAAACCTTATATATGTTTCAAGTTAGCTTTGTTTTGTCTAATAGTAATGATAACTATAATGTTTTCAGAAAGAATTCATGAATAAAACTGATTCACAAATTCAAACAGACTTCCCAGAATCTTATGAATTCAAAATAAATCACCTTGCTAAATCTACTACTAATGGAATGTTAAGGTAATTTATTCATTATCAACTTGAAATATTGTTGATAAGATACATTTCATGATACGCATAAATTGAGGCATTCGTTAAGAAAAATTAAATGTTACAAATCACCCGTACATAGCACAAATATCACTAGTTATTTATCTTATCTTAACACTTTTAAAGATGTATAAGTATTGCAAATTAGTTTTTTTTTTATCAAAAAGATTGTAAGAAAGAGACGGGTTTAGAAATTTGGGTTCTGGAATCGATTTATGACTGAATGCTTTCAACATTCATGAAATTAAACCAATTACCGTTGAAGTTTTCTTTATTTCACCAATGGTTTAAAGAAAGATATCATTATCTAGGAAAGTTTTTAAAAGATGTGACAAAGCTTTTTTAGCTGACTATCTATCTTAAGACAAACTTTTTCGAAGAAAGTTTATTATGTTAAAAAACATAAATTTATGAACAATTTCAAAAACCTAGAAGTACAAGCCATAAAGTACGATGGCTTACATTATATTAATAAGTGGTATAGACTGTTAACTCTGTTTATCAAGTGAAAGTTGTTTAGTTAGTTCTGAGGTTCAGGAACTCCTGGAGCATGTAATACTAAACTTCACATTACTCTGCTTCATGTTAAAAGTTACTTAAATGCCTCTGAATAATCCAATTAGAGCAAAAACCTGAAGGTTAGGTGAGTGTATATTCATTGTAAGTAGTAAGAATTATCTTCTCATGTAATAATGAGTAAAAGTTGGAAGTGAAACTCTGGATTTAGGTTTCGTCCTACAAAAAGTTCAGCTTATATGTACTTCTGTAACCTTGTTCACACTGAATTCACATTATTTCAAATCCCTTATTATTATGAAATAAGTTGTCTGTTAATTATACATACTTCTTATCAAGTGTGAACTAGTTGCTACTGAAATTTGAACTATCTGATAATAAGCTCTCAGGATTGAAATGATCGACTTTCATTGCTATGAGTTCACTCATGAATGCTGAAAGTCATTTTCTTACTTGATTCCTAGCAATCTGTTCAACTTCTATGTTTGAAAATCTCCCTTTCATCTTAGTATGAGTTATTTATAGTTACTGACTGAAAATCATCAACAAAATAAGACCAACTAGACTAGCATGCATGAATTGTCAGTCACAAGTTGATTAAGAAAGTATTAAAAACTATATTGACAGAATCAATATTTTTGACCACTTGAATGCGTCTCAAACAACTGTGCAAACATTAAGGACTACATTTGAGCTACTTATTAGTAGTATGATGTATACCTCTAAAATTCTGTAGTTTGGTTTTATGAATGAATAGGGTATATAACATTTTATTTAGTTAAACTATGCTCAAGTTATAGATCGTTTCTGTTTTTCATGTTTTAGCAACATATCAATGGTGGATTCAAGCCTTCCAGGTAATTCTCTTCACAACCTTAGTATCTTCATCTGTAAGTAGATCGACTTTCACCTGTTATTGAAACAAATTTAGAAGAACCACTAACTGCTTCTGTGAATGAGGTGAAACCGTCTAGTATTTCATTACCTGAAGCACAAGATCTATTGACGAATGATCACAGTAAGTTCAACGTATGAAATTCTTATACGATCATCAGTAGATGATATTTTAATCGACAAGCCTAATGAAGTGAAACGTGATGCCAAGTAGGTTATTAGGCCGTTTGGCTTTGACACTTTTTAAATAGAGAAAGGAAGAAGGAATTGACTACCGGAAGTAAAGATGGTAGGTATTTGAATTAAAAACTCTATACTATTTGATAACAACTTCTGGAATGACTCTCTTGACAATACTGAGGTTTGCTAATATTATTATTATTATTATGATAATAATAATAATTATTATTACTGTTAGTCGCTTAGGTTCTTAGTGGAGCATAGGGCTTCAATAACACATCGCCAATTCAATCTCTTATCTGCAGTCTTTTCAACCTAGCTCCAAAACTGCCAAAAACCTCTCATTTCTTTCTCACACAATCTCCTCCATTTCACCCTCAATTCAGACGCCAAACTCGTCCTTTCCCATCCGGACTCCACTCGATGTTCTCGTCTGGCGACCAACGTCTCCAAACGGTCTTCTCAGTGTATGTCCAATTCAATCCATCTCCACTTTCTTCTGTATATTTGTTGGGCGATGGATTATTGGTTGGTTCGTTATCAGAGCAGAGTTCCATTTTGCTCATCCTTATAATTCTGATCATCTGATCTTCAGTATTGAGTGTAGATGGTATTTGTTGATGAGTGTTAGCAGTTTGTTAGAAATGGTTTTGGTAACGCGTGAAGGTTGTGAACCGTATATAAGGAGTGATTTGACGTTGATGTTGAAAATCTGGATCATGCGAGGTTTACTATAACTAGCCTCAACTTCACAGTACTCTATGAAACTATCCAATCAAAAATTACTTCACGTAAAACTAAAATGCTTAGGAAAACCCGTATCTCAAAATCACTGTGGTTGGCAACATATTAATGCACTTTTACTTAAAGTTACTAATATTAATAAAGGCTCCAGTAGTATGAATTTCAGTATTGAAGTACTTACTGTACTGAGTGGTTTATTTCTTATTTGATGTGATGTATCACCGCAGATGTTAGCCTTATTCGTCTAAACGTATTGTTTTTTAATAGAATCTTTGGTTCAAGAAGGTCTCAAGAAATACACTGAACATAATAGAACATAAGCACTCAAATTAAATGTAAGAGACAAATGAAGTGACGAAGTTATTTAAAGAGGGACAGGTTTCCGAGAATATAATTAAGAAACTGTCGTTAAAATATTATTCATACTTCTGTGCAATAACTGATATAAATTAAACTTGAAGCACCAATACTAACAGAAATGAATGTACCTTTTCTGGGCGCACAACGGTGATTTGAACTCATGGATGGCTAGTGCTTCAACCACAGGCAGACCCCTTTGTCTTACCTCCTTTAAGTGGTTTGATCGAACCCTGTAGGGAATTTTGAATGAACTCTCAAAAAGAGCTAAGTGACCTGAGTTCAAGAGGTGTTATATTATTGAGGTGAAGATACATTTCCATTCTCGCTATGCCGTACCATACGTCTGATTGTAAAAAGTATCTACGGACTCTACCCAGCCTGGCTGGGTAGAGTTTGAGCAACATATTTTTTTAACAATCCGAGCACAGATCAGACAAATATAATTGCTTACATGTAATTAATACCAACTAACTTATTGCGCACAATGTATTATCTATAACGACTTATTATTGCTGCAAATAGTTGTCTGTAATATTCGAAAAATATCTAAAATATTCTGAAGTTTGGTTTAGTTGATTACCAAACCGTCTTCTTCTTGTTAGAATTACCTGACAGTGGCCTATCCTATTTGAATACCTACACCCCTCAGACATCCTAGATATATTCTTGCCTGGTATGGAAAATTAAGTGGTGGTGGTGGTGCTGGTGGTGGGGGGGGGTGATGGCATTCAAATAGAAAGTTAGGTAGCTTTACTTATAGCAACTTGATGAGAGTTAAAAGGCAGGCTTATCACCCACTTATGTGAAGGTTTTTATCAAAAAGAATGATTAGATTGGCAAAGCTAACAAAATACCAGTAACATCGCGCTGATTTACACTACACATGGGTAACAAAATTTTATCCCAAAATCTATGAAACTTTGATCAGATCATAGATGTTCACGAGTTAATGCTGACATTGTTAAATATTATATTAGTAGTGGTTACTTTTGAAAATGATGGACCAATCACTTTTGCTATTAAGAGATACTGCAGGCAAATGAAAGCGATAAGACACTCGCATTTGGATCCTTCAACAATGTGAAGCCTTTGATTATGTCTACTCAACCTCGTCAAGAAGCACTGAGATTGGCAAATATTCTAAATACTCAGCAAGTAAGTTGAATGATAAGATATTGATATTACTTTCAAACTTGTCATATTATGGGATGTAAAACGATAAAGGTTTTGTTGTGTTTACCATTGAAAATATTTTCACTCACTACTGCCTAGATATAAGTAACTTAATTCCATACTTAGTTCACTAATCTATAGGTCTCTGATTTCCCTAATTTCTACGAGGTCATCCATTTATTTGATAGCAAAGTCAAATATAGTATCTATTCTGGGCGATGACTGAAGGTAGGATGAAAATCTCAACCACGGCCAGATTCGAATCACTGACCACCGGGTTTCTGTTAAGAGGCTCTACCAACTGATATACGAGGTCCGACTGCTGACCAGATTATTATTTCACTTCAATCACTTAGGGTTGTACCCCACTACAATGTGAATTTGTGACGCGTTTCTACTCATAGTGATTAAAGTAAAGTAAAAATCTGATTAGCAGTCACACCTTGTAGCTCTGTTGGTAGAACATCGGGCTAGGAACCTGGTGGCCGACGGTTCGAGTCCAGCCGCGGTTCGAATTTTCATTTCACTTATAATCATCACCCAGTATAAATGATAGTCTGCCAAACTACGGCTATCTCAGATAGTTAAAATGATAAATATAGAATCATAAAAACGCTGGGATTATGTTCTTGAAAGCCATTTACTGTTTACATTTCATCAACTTTCTTCCAATGTAAATGTGTATAGATTTTACTGACTGTCATTTGATTATTACTTGTCTGTCTTATCACTTAAAGAAGTTGAACTTAATATACACTTTGAATATTTCTAAGTAATGAGGTTACAACCGTCATGGTGATGGTTTAATTTCACAATATTATTTCATTGAATTTTAATTTTAACACTAAATAAACACGTAACAATTTAATTAAACAAGCAATTTTTTGCAAGATTGCTGACTAGTTCAATTGTCAAGTGTAGTAGTTTCTGATGAGAAAATAGTACTAAATTTTTGTTACTGTATCACGGAGTATGGTATCTAGACTGGTGTAAGAACCTTCACAAATGAAAAAAAGAAGTATAGTTTTATTTTACGGCGTCAATAAAATAAGGACTTATGTTGCAGTAGTTTACTATAGCAATAAAAAGTGAATTTTCTGATAACGTAAGACTATTTGAATAAGGTTAGTAAGTAAGTGACTTACATTAGTCTTTGGTAGGGGCAGTACTGTGGAGATCTAATCTCACTCTAAAAGTATCAAGGAAAGGCGCAGACACAATTTGTTCAGGTAGAGAGTTCTAGCAGTTTGTAATTCCGTGTGACAAATGTATCTTGAGATGTAGGCTATCAAACTATTTTATGAACCTTTTGACTATATGCTCTAAGGTAAACAGTTCAAGAGGGGAGGAATAAATTAGATGGAACGTCAATCTTTAGTATAGATACTATACATTAAAAGGATATCATTCATCAACTTATGGCAAGTTAGTAGAAGAAGACCTAATTTACCAGGTCTTTCTATGTAGGATTGGTTGGAGAGCCTTATGACAACCTTGGTTCCTACTCTTCAAACAAGTAGTAATATGTAAGTTTCATATTCAAAACATGGACTCATTTCCTAAATTCTATGCACATAAATGGACTTTAAGTTTGTCTATTACGAGATTAAATCGTATCAAAACCTTAACGGACCCTTCGGAAGAACCACAAGATTTGAGAGTCTTTAGCAGCTGCCACCAAATAGTAATCTGTTGTTTCAAGGTCATGACTGACTATGGTGACTTAGTCCTTTTATTCACTTACTTTGGGAAAAATCATATTGCTAACTAAGTGGTCATGACCTATGTGCGTGGCTGAGTCTTTTAGAGTATTAATTTCCAGGTACCACCCCGTGGATCAATCTACTACAGCATTCAAACCTTCCTGTAGGGGCAGACCATCTTTATCACCATGAACAGATGTCAACAGTTGAACGTTTCGCGGAGCTGTGTGGGTGGAAGACTTGGTCGTCTTCGATAACTTATTCACACGCGTTAAAAGAGACGTCAGTCCAAAATGGCATTCTAAGGCACTCCAATTTTTGCTTATCTCCTTGAAAACAATGTTCCTTTTATATTTTAACTCATCCATTCATCGCAACTAAAATCGTTGATCCATCTTCTAGCTACATTATAATACGTAAGCTTTTTAACTTCTTGGGTCCGGTATGAGAAACCTTATCAATAGCCTAGCAGAAATCAATGGATGTTAAATTGGTTGGGACATTTGCATCAGTAGTATCGGGTCAGTCCTTTCCTGCAGCGATCAGATTTCTTAAACTGAGCGACCAGCCAAAACACATGCCATTCTTTAACTATAATCCTATTCACCTCGAAATCCAATATTATGACACTAAGGATGATCTTTTCCAAAAGTTTGTCTACTAAGCTAGTCAGACCTATAGGATGACAATTAACCACCAGATGTCATGAGGCAGTTTTATAGACTGGAATGGTGATAATATCCTTCTGGTCCCTAGGTGATTTCACTTAATCAGTGAGCAGTCTTAGGAGCACCGCCTCCTTATGAGCACTTACCCCTTTCATGTAGTGTCACCAGTGAAAGGGATTTCCAAGCACTTATACAACTTTCTGGGAATACTCCGTTTCTCTATCTTCTAGTGGCCAGTTTGTCTTAGTCGTATGACGGAAGTGGACATTCTTACGTGACCTGAAAAACAACTGGTCCCAGTTAGTAGAACTGCTGTCGCTAACCAATATTTTGCTAATTCTTCATAATTACCTAATACTTACAGGAAAGATATTTTCTATATACGTGACTGTACTAAGCATAAGCTATTGGAATATAATCTAAAAGGATCTGATCCTGCTGACTCTTTTAAGTAGCATGCGACCGAATTGCATGCGGCTTGTTGCCTTTCCCTTATATGTCTGGGTACATTATTATTCACACCTCTCGGGGTTCTTGGTTGCTTCAACTTTTAATAATTCTAAGTTTCTTCACCTCGTTATCCAAATTTACAGAAATCTTTTCATGTTTTTCACGCTTTCCTCAACATTTCTCCAATCGTCTTTAGAATATGCATCACTACTTAAAATCTGAAACTTCTTAACAGTTTTAGCAGGACTATCAACAAATTTACCATTGGCCTGCGAAGTATCATTTCCTTTTTCAAAAGACTGGATGCTGATCGGAGATTTCGCAGCTTTACTTTGACTATAAATTTTCATAGAAACTGAATAAAATTTCTTTTTTCGATATTACAAGACTACCTTTCATATGATATCATTACTGGATGCCCATTAAATTTTGCCATCGTAACTTAGTCCACATGATATTTTTTCTTAGTTAACCCGTGCGAGCAGTTTTTACGACCACACAGAATTGAAAAGAAAGCCGATAAAATGTTTTAATTGACAAATAATATTGCAGGATGAATAAAATTGATTGACATGCTAGTTAAGAATGCTCTTGGGTGTTATCTTTTCAATGTGTATTTTGAACTCACTGTTCTTTAAATTTATTAAGACTCTGGTAGTCAAAGAACTGAGAATCGCAGACAGTATTCGTTGGATCGATTACCTTCTGACTATACTGAGAGGTCCTTTTCTTTTTTGTGGAGCGCGTGATAAAGTTGGTGGTTAACAAAGTCTAGGTATAAAGATATAAGACTAGACTAGCTTCGGCCAACTCATGCCATTTACGATATTGGCTAGTGTATCCGTTGATAGTTCATTCCATCGTATTGTATTGGTGTGAACACTGTCATTGAAGATGGAGAACCTGAAGAGACTCCAGGTGTTTGTTTCAAACTAATACAAGATATATAATTTAACATGAACGTCAGAATGCTTTTTTTCTTGTGAATCTGCAAGCAGTACAAATACCAGTTAAACGATTCGATATTCGCTGATCAGTGATGACTATTCAAGCCAGTCTGGATAAGAATATGAGACTGAATTTAAACAGGACGTAGGCGTAATCATTTCAGCGCTCATGTATCTCAGTAACAACAAGTTTATCAAGACTCTTCCGTTTACCTGCTTTTCAAAACTATTGGCCTAGTGTCTAGTGTTAAGTCACTACCAACTTGAAGAGTTAAGAACTACTGATTTTCTTTTGACATAATACTACCGCCATTCTTTCTTTCGCAACTCATTAACTACAGAAAAGCCTTCTGAAAACGTAGACTTATTTTCATTGAAAGTACTGTCGTTAACTCAGCTTGTTTTTGTCGCATACGACAAATTCAGAGAATCATTGGCCAAAACAATAAATGGAGCTGAAGATGAAGTCATAGGTGAAAACATGGACCGGTTTGCTACGGTATTCAAGAGGAATACAATATTAGCTTTTTAACATGAAATGGTTTTTATAACAGCCTAGTTTATCAATCCAAACTTCCGTCTAGAACTACAGATTTCGTTTCACAGTTATTTGTCTTCACTTTGTGACATTATACGTGACCTATAAAAAGTTTCTTTTCTCTATTCCTTAGGCAAGTATCGAAAACCTGAGATAATTTTTCATGCAGGTACATTAACAGAAAAATGCATGAAGTCATACATCTATAATGAGTCAGTACCACATCTTGTTTGAACGCATGTACCAAAACATATCCACCAAAAAAGTATTTACAAATTTTATCTTCGAATTAAAATCTTGTTCCTGTGTTGCTATCTTTGTATTTACAGCATTAGTTTCATTATCAAATTGGATTTTTTCATGAATAGAAGATAGACTTCCTTCTTCACAATGAAGATTAACTTTTGTTTTATGTCATACTTACAAGTTAAATAGCTTAACGAAGTGTTAAATTTCTGTTCACAAGGTCTCAAAAACGTATTTAATTTGATAGTTTATTTACTACGAAGAAAGATTAACTGATACAATTTTCGTATATAGATAAGTTATAAGAATAAGAGTATTTGATATCCTTAAATAAGCTAGTAGGAGGATTTGAGCTTCTGGAAATATTGTTAGAATATAAACCGATTCGCACTCTTTTAAGGAATAAATTTATTGACATATACATCTCAACTCGATTACCGTCTTCACTTTGCATATTACAGTAACTGTTTGTCACTGAGATCTCGTATTTAACTACCAAGAGCCTTTCTGTGAGTATTATGAGTCAGAACTCTTATTAAGCATGGACCGGTGCTGATAATTACTCTTAAGGAACGCCATACGATTCTACAATGCCAATGTTTATGTTGCCGTTAAGGCTTTCATGCAAAAATTCGACGAAATAAAGCAGTTTACTTACTAATTAATTGGCTTGGCTATGAGTAATTTATGTTAAAATGGTACTTGTACTTTCTTTTAGATGGAGAACAAAATACTGCTGTTTTTCTGACGTTCAAAGAATAAATACCAATGTTTTTATTCATCGAGTAACTTTAAAAATTATTTTTCAACTTAGCGATTGATGAATGCTACTGAAAGTGAAATTCTTCTTTTAAGGTTATACCTTCAGTTGTACACTCCGAATGACTGTCTTTATTCCACTTAGGTTAAGTCAAAAATATATTACGGATTGTTCGAGAAAACCTAATTAATTCCAAGTAAACAATTTGTCTTCAGATGAAATGAAACCAAGCAATATAAATTTCCCAATGTTACCTGGAACTATCTAGGTCAAGTTATAAAGCACAATCAAGTACTGTTTCTGATATAAGCAACAACAGCAGATATTATTATCAATTTATGTGAACCATTTACAATAAAGTTCAGTGTATTTTTGAGATAAGACGTTATCTTAGCATGTAGATGCTAATGATGAGTCATATAGCAAATATATAAAGTCAAACGAAACCTCTTCAACCTGTAGCCACGCAAACGTCTGAATAAAATAGCAAGATAAGCTGAAACAATTATTCAACATCAAATGGTACCAATGGTGATGCACTCAAAATTCAACTATTTTAACCGGTAAGATTATTAAAATCTGCGTATAAGTGAGTTTCTTCTCCGGATCCTAGGTTTTTAAAAATCTGCTGAAATTTTCCAGTCTATAACGCAACCAAAGTTGTGGTTGTCTATCTATGTCAAGACAGTGTACGTTTTTTCTATCTGCTAGCTGATATTTCAAAGTACCGCAATTCAGGGAACAAATTTACCATCTTGAGATGCAGAACTTCTGTATTGTACCAAATTCATCTGACCACAATGGGATTGTATGTTTTGAAAAAAACAGGAGTTCATGAATCACCTATCAACTTTACCTTGGAACAGTACTGTAGAAATTGTAATCCAACAAAATTATGATATACAGATTAGTGACTGCTGTTCTCGTGAAATCGAATAGCGCGTCATGAAGATTGAAGAAAATGATACATATTTTACTGATAAGTTTACATACATTCATACAGTAATAAAAATGTAATCCAAATTAATAGCAGTCAGTGAATATCCGAATCAGTCATACAAGCAAAGAGATTCTGAATACCTTAAAAGAAGTGCAAAGGAACGGAGAGGATATTGAAGCCCAAACTTCTCAGACTGCTGATATCATCCTAAAAAAGAAAGAATTAGAAACGAAGCCTCAGCTAAACTTATCGCATACTAAATGAATTGAAATTAACTATATGCAAAGAAGTGACCCTAGAAGATTTGGATTTAGCCTATGATGAGTTGTCTAATGTCGCACAGGCTCGAAGATCTACAGGCCAAAACTAACAAGTTGACAGAAGAGGAAGCGAATGCGGGACTTCAGGCGAACATAGAGAAGATAGAGGTGATGAAGATATGCCATCAACAACAGCATCAACAACCAGCACCAATCACCATGAACGGGAGAAACCTAAATGAAGTAGTCTCTTTCGCCAACCCACCTGCCTAGGCAGTATCGTTTCAACTACGGGCGAAACAGACGAGGATTTCAAAACCGGGATCAGAAAAGCAAGACAAGCTCTCATTAATCTGAAATCAGTGTGAAGATCTACTACGCTTCACTTCACTCAGGATAAACCGTGAACAAGATCTGGGTTTTCAACATCAATGTCAAGTCAGTGCTGCTATATGGTTCAGAAACTTGGAGCGTCACGAAAAGCACTTCCAACAAGCTACACGCACTCACATCATTCAAAAGTTCTCGAAACTTCAAGTGAGCAGTAAATAAAAAAATGTGAATGTTTTAATATTCTTGTAAGCTTCTAAAAATATCGATGAAATAGACTTATAAACAAGAACTATTTTCATAATGGTTATTTTGAAACTTTTGAGGCTAAAAGGTCAGCACACAGAGTAATATGATCATAAATCAATTACGTATTGCACTAAGTCACCGCGAAGTAGTATGGTTATTGTGTAAATCACATGGATAGCGATTAAAACTGTAACCTTCAGTAATCATGGTCAAAAATGAAACCCTTGCCCGAAACGAAGTTACGAGTATGCGAAAAGATTTTGTTATTTTGGAACATGAAATTTATGGTCATCCTTTGAAACCGAAATGAAATGATGGTAATGATGGATAGCGGCTAGCCTTAGAGCCCAGGACGCAAGTCTCATCCCATTCGGGGCCTTGCCAGCTGGTCGTACCCCCACACTAGTGAATATACTTGTTAACACTAAGGTTCGAACCTAGGGCCTACTGTGTCAGACGCCACATCATTATCCACTAGGTCAAGGAATCTTTGTTAGTTCCCTTAATTTAATAAGTTCTGTTGGGCATCCTGCAGGGATACCTCCATAATACCAGTAATTTCATTTTGTTAGTCATGACGGATAGTTACTGGCGGTAAGATCTAGAACAGAAATTTGTTCTATTTAAAACATAAGAATTAAGCGATTCACGACAAATTACTTTGGAATTTAAAATTTATTAGCAAAAGATGGAATTTGGTTCCAAAGATACCACCATTGCTCCTTAGCAGTATGATGGGCAACATAGATAAAACCCAATTAGTTGTAAACTAAGACCAGTATCAAATAAAGCAGATTTACGGTTCTTCCACTGATGATACATCTCTTTCCTAAAGCTGAAATCTAGTCCCCATCAGATGTCAAATTTGTATAATTCCAACATCTTAATTGATCATTACTTTACTATCTCAAACAGGATTTAACTATTCTTCTTCTGAATTATATCAGGTTATAGAAGAAGTTACTATTAAGACTATTATGTTACTTATTTCCTTATAAATGAATATAAGATGAAAATGTTTCTGTGCCTACATTCTCACTTTCGGAACGAAATTGTTGATGCATTGAACTGAATGTTACAAAAACCGATAGCTTTAAAAGCTTTTACACTAGAGGATGTTTCAAGATAAGATATGACTTCATTTCTGTTAATCATCAAAAGATGATTCATTTTTACAAACCATATTCAAATCTTGTGTCTTTTGATAATTAATACATGTAATAGTATATATTGCCGAAAATTAATTTCATCTAAAAGTCTGTATACAGGACTTACTCCAAAGCTTTGTCTAAATAATTAGAGAATAAATAGATAATAGTTATTTGAATGATAGTGTCTACATCTAGACTTCAAACTATGTAAGCGTAATCACAAAGTTAAGATTTAGGGTAGTGGTATTTGTTTTAATTTACCCAATGCCTATCTGACCACATATTAATTTAGCTAATATTTTATTCCAAGCTTCAGTTCCACTGAAAAATAACATAGAAATGTCGAGTGTAGAAGGAACTCAAAAAGTATTATCATAACGACCCAAATGTCTTCAAATATTAGGAGACATTTTGTAAGCTCAAAGTGATTTCATCACGAGCATATAAAAGTAACCTTCAGTAAACACTGGGCCTAAAACATATGTATCTAAGAGTCAACTGGACCAAAAATATACTAATCTTCGATTCTGTATTTCCTCTTCGTCAATAGCAGTAGGTCATCATCCTACAAAAGTAATATATCCTCTCTAAATACTTTATGAAAGTCATATGCAGGTGTACATTATGAAAAATATTATCGTTATACAGCAAAAATATTCTCTTATTAATTTGTCATAAATAAGTAAGGTTGGTGGATGGACGGAGGTAACACACTATCGACTTTCGTTCATCTAAACCTGTAAAATTATAATCACTTGTCAGCTGGTTACAAATACAACAGTGGCGTGCTTAATCCAAAAAAATTCTATACTTCGGTTGAAGTAAACGTCAGTTTCACTGTAACCATGAATTCCTGTCTGGAATGATTTTCTTACCTAACTCAAAATAAATCCAATTTAACCGAGTAGTATACAAATCTAATGTATTGTGCTATTCTTTGAATTTGATTAAGTAGTTTACGTCCTAACCAATTGTCTAGCGTAGATCTTAATTGGCCAGTTAACTCAGTATTCGTCTTTCAAAATGCTGATTTTATGTAGAGTGAAATAGTTAAGGGAAAGTTGAGTAATTTGAGTAATCCAACTCAGTTAAATTATGCTCAGTTTTGCAGCTACACTAGTGGCTTCATCGTTTCAACACTGTATTCTGTATAGAAAATATCTATCCAGGTAACAGCAAACACAAGAATTTCAGCCGAAATAACTTTATTTATGGTTTTATTCTCTTCACTTGCTGAACCATAATTTCATTCATTTTCGGTCCTCTATATTTTTACAGTTACCAATCGTCTCCTGCTATTAAACAAGGTGAAAGTTAAACAGCAGCCATAATAATTCTGAACACTTTGTGCAGAATTATCATGAAAAATGCGAATTAATCATTAGGTAGCAAAGAAACTGAAACGATAAGCAAGTTCCAACATAAAGCAGTTTTGAGGGATTTGTGG